CTCGTGGAATGAGGTTTACCGGGGCTGCCGACAAAGGGCTTTGATGTCGACAGGGGGAACGTCCAGACTAGCGCGCGAGCCGACAAACAGCTGATCAGCTGTTTGTCGGCTCAGTGCGGCAGCCATGTAAATGTAAATGAAGCCGCGATCATTTAAATCGTGGCTTCATTTACCTTTTCCAAACAAACAAATCTACATGCCTCTGCCAACAGAGGCATGTAGTTTAGACGTAACCTTAGAAAGTGCAGAAAAAGCCTCCGCTGTGGCAAATTGTGTGACCAGAGGTATTACAATAAGCATGGGCCACACACTGGCCAGATTCTGCTCTCACATTCTGCCTGAAGTGGGCCACTCCAAGTTGAAACTGGCTCCCCGAGAGGAAAATCAAAGCAGAAGAACATAAGAAGGCCAACCTGGGTGCAGGAAAGCTTCATCTAACCCAGAATCCTGTCTGCTGACAGTGACCAAATGCCAGGTGTTCCAGAGGGAATGAGAAGAACAAGTTATCATCAAGTGATCCATTCCCTGTCGCTCATTCCCGGCTTCTGGCCAACAGAGGCTAGAGACGCCATCCCTGCCCCTCCTGGCTAACACTCACTAATGGACCTGTCCTCCAGGAATGGATCTAGTTCTTTTTCGAATTCTGTTATAACTTTGGCTTCACAACATCCTCTGGGCAGGAGAGCATTGCTTGAAGAAACACTTCCTTTTGGTTTGTTTTAAACCTGCTGCCTGTTCATTTCATTTGGTTGCCCCTAGGTCTTATGTTAAGAAAGGTCTTATGTTATCTGATTTAGAGCCCCAGGGGCACTGGGGAGGAATAACTTTAGAATGGCCCTGGTGAGGGGCTATTTCGACAGCAGTGGAGCATCCAAACACACCGTCTTCCAAAAAAGCTTTTTCAGAACAGGCGTTATTCCTCATAGAATGAGGTTTACCAGCGTCAGAAAAAGTCATCTGTTATTTTGATTTTCTTTTGAAATAACGCAATTGCTGTGTGGATGCAGATTTTTTTTCCAGACTGAGCTATTATTCCAGAAAATGGTGTAGTATAGACGCACCCCGAAAGAAAGTTCCTCAGCAAAAGAACAAGATGAGTAACAGAGGCGCAGGCCAGTAGCACTGAATACCAAGACACTTAGACCCCACATTCCCATTCTGCGAACATGAAGTTGTAGCCCAGCATGATGTCTGTTTACAGGGAGGAAACATGGCTCCTTTCCAATATATGAATTGCATTTTGGACTGGACCAATGGTCCACCTAGTCCAGTGGCCTTTGTCTGACAATGACAGCTTCAAGTGCAGCAGAATGTGTAGAAAACCCATCAGTATCAGGGTGGGGAGGATGAATTGAGCATCAGAAGGGTGTCACCCTTATACCTAAAACCTAGAGTTTAGCTTTTGCTCTGAAACACACGTACATATTGGCTTTCTAAAATATTTATTTAACTTTAACTATTGCAACTGGATGATCTCCCTCTCCGTGTAAATGTCCACACCCTTCCTGATTCTTGCTTAAAAGAGAAGACTGAGAAGGGACATGATAGCTGTTCTCAAGTATCTAAAAGGGTGTTATATGGAGGAGGGAGAAAAATGTTCTCCTTCGCCTCTGATGATAGGACAAGAAGCAACAGGTTAAATTACAGCCAGGGAGGTTTATGTTGGACATTAGGAAAAAAGCCAAACCCTTCCTAACTGTCAGGGTGGTTAAACTCTGGAATAAGTTGCCTAGGGAGGTGGAATTGACATCACTGGAGATATTTAAGTGCAGGTTAGACTTACATCTATCTGGGATGATCTAAATGACATTTGGTTCTGCGGTGGGTGCAGGGGACTGAACTCAATGATCTCTTGAGGTCCCATCCAATTCTTTGATTCTTTGATTAATTTGTGGCCTCTTTGTGCCAATGAGTTACTCAGTCCAGTTAGATATTGAGTAAAAAATACCCTTCTTGTGTCATTTTCACATTTCAAAATATCAGTTGATCTTTCTCGGTCTTTTGGTAGGAGACAGGGAGATCACCTGCTTGATCAGAAAGCCACCAGTCGATATCTCATATACTTTTGCCATTTCCCCACTTGTTCATCTCCTCTGCAAGGTAACAATCACAGTCTTTTCAATCTCTCTCTGTAGAGGTCTTCCCCCAGGCCCTTGATCATTCTCATTTTCCTTACACGATCTAGGTATGCAATATCCTGTGTGACAAGAGTATACAGAGAGGAGTCTAGAGGTGGTTGACATATTGACAGATTCAGAGGGGTAGCCATGTTAGTCTGAATCTGCAAAAGCAGCGAGGAGTCCTGTGGCACCTTATAGACTACCTGAAGTGTTGGAGCATAAGCTTTCGTGGGCAAAGACCCTGTTCGTCAGATGCATGTAGTGTAAATTTCCAGAGGCAGGTATAAATATGCAGGCCAGAATCAGACTGGAGATGACGAGGTGGATCCAAACAGGGAGGATGAGGCCCACTTCTAGTAGCTGATCTGGAGGTGTGAATTCCAAGAGAGGAGAAGCTGCTTTTGTAGTTAGCAAGCCATTCACAGTCTTTGTTTAATCCAGAGTTGATTATGTCAAACTTGAAGATGAACTGTAGCTCAGCCGTTTCTCTTTGAAATCTGGTTCTGAAGTTTTTTTGCTGCAGGATGGCTACCTTTAGATTTGAAATTGTGTGTCCAGGGAGATTGAAGTGTTCCCCTACAGGTTTTTGTATGTTGCCATTCCTAATATGTGATTTGTGTCCACAGGACTCCTTGCCGATATTGACAGATTGATCCTGTAGCACTGAATTTTCTATACTGTTCCCCATCCCACATCTCTTAGGCCGTGTCCAGACTCAGGGTTTTTTTCGGGAAAAGTAGCCTTTTCCCGAAAAAACTTCCCCTGCGTCCAGACTCAAGCCGCGTTCTTTCGAAATTATTTCGAAAGAACGCGGCTTTTCTTTCGATGGCGGTAAACCTCATTTCACGAGGAAGAACGCCTTCTTTCGAAAGTTCCTCTTTCGAAAGAAGGCGTTCTTCAATGTAAAGAGGCCGTCTTCGAAAGAGAGCATCCAGACTCGCTGGGTGCTCTCTTTCGAAAAAGCGGATTTCCTCTATCGAAAGATCCGCCTGCTGTCTAGACGCGATCTTTCGAAAGAGGCTCTTTCGAAAGCTGCTTTCGAAAGAGCCTCTTTCGAAAGAAGCCTGCAGTCTAGACATAGCCTTAGATTCCAGTGTTCTGATTAGCTTCTGTCAGGGCTCACACCATGAGAAGGGTTTCACAGAGCCATGTATCACAATTCCAAGGTCTCTGCCCAGAGTTAATGTAGTTAAATTAGAACATTGGTAGGTGTTCGGGGGCAGATAAACTTTGATGCCAATAGCTATAGTCAGTACAGTGAGCCCTCGCTACTTCGCGGTTCGACCATCGCGGATTCACGACTTCGCGGACTTTTGGATACAGTGAACCCTCGTTTATCGCGGTAGATAGGTTCCAAACCCGACCGCGATAGTTGAAAATCCGCGAAGTAGGGACATGTATATTTAACATGTATACAGCGAGCCCTCGCTACTTCGCGGTTCGACCATCGCGGATTCACGTATATACATAATGTAATGAAAAAAGTCCGCGAAGTCGTGAATCCGCGATGGTCGAACCGCGAAGTAGCGAGGGCTCGCTGTATACATGTTAAATATACATGTCCCTACTTCGCGGATTTTCAACTATCGCGGTCGGGTTTGGAACCTATCTACCGCGATAAACGAGGGTTCACTGTATGCCCATTGGTGGGGAAAGCTTGAATTCCTTACTCTGCCTATTTACCTGGTTTGATTGGCTTCCTCAGAGGACTTCTCCGGTCTTGATTGTGACCTAAATAATCTGGTGTCATTTGAAAATATTACCATCTCACTGCTCATCTCCTTTCTAGAGTGTTAACAACGATGAAATATTTATTGTATTAACTCCACTAATTGTTGCAGAAAGTGAACAATACCCTCTCACTGTACCTCTCTCTCTTCATAGGCACCTTCAGCATTTCTGAGCACAGTCCATGCATTGAAGACTTCATGGGAGCTTTTAACCTCACCCCCTCTGACTCTTCGACATTCATCTTAATGGGTATTGCTGGTCTAGAAGCTGCCCATGTCTGGATTTCCATCCCTTTCTTGATGTCCTACATTGTCACCCTCTTAGGAAATCTCATGCTGCTGTTTGTGGTAGGCAAAGAGCAGACCCTGCACAAGCCAATGTACATGATGCTCTGCATGCTGGCACTCACAGACATTGTCACACCTTCCCTCGTTGTGCCAAAGGCACTGTGCATGTTTTGGTTCAATTGGAAAGATATTACTGTGGGTGGCTGCCTCACCCAGATGTTCTTTCTCCACACAGTTGCTTTCATGCAATCAGCTATTCTGGTGACAATGGCCTATGATCGTTATGTTGCCATTTGTAACCCGCTGAGATACACCACCATCCTCAGCAATGCACGGATAGCTACACTAGGGCTAGTGGGTTTGATAAGATCTAGTCTTTTGATGCTACCACTACCCCTGCTCCTCAGCAGGCTGCCATTCTGTTCCAGCCGACTTATCCTTCACACGCACTGTGAGCACATGGCCATCGCGAAGTTGGCATGTGGGGACATCAGCGTGAACAGAAACTATAGCATGGTGGTAGCATTTGTGGTCAGCGGCATAGACCTGATGCTCATTGCACTGTCCTATGGTAGGATCATCAGGGCAGTTTTTACAAAAACCTCTAAGAAATCCCACCAGAAAGCCCTCAGCACCTGCACTGCCCACATTTGTGTGATGCTGATGTCCTATATGCCTGGCCTCTTCACCAGCGTATCAAACCAGTTGGGTAAGGCAATCGCTTCTCACACTCACATCATCTTGGCCAATCTCTACCTCCTCATTCCTCCCATGCTCAACCCCATCATTTATGGGGTCAAAACCAAGGAGATTTGTGACAAAATGTGCAAATACACGTGCAGAAGGTGATTGTTGTGGGCCATTGACTTGACATTTGTGTGACAAAAAAGGGATCCGACAATCATTCTCAATCCAGGGTGCCCAGTCCCAGTTTTCCTGAATTCAGCATTGTGGAAGTTCATCATCTCAGACTTTCTTCACAACCGATCTCACTCCATGACCAGGCACTTCTGTCTCTGTTGCTGAGATCCTCTCTAGCTATCACATGATGTCTTTCAGCATCACCCATCAGCCCAGCACATCGTTTGTCGATTACCCCTTCTGTTCCTTACGCACCAAAGGAAGATTCTGCAATGACAATGTATTCTGATGGAAGGTGGCTTTCCTTTATATCCTGGGTGAACAGGAATCTTGAACAGTTTGACAAATTAACATTAAACTTCCTGCTATGCATATGATACATGCAGTGATCCAAGGACTAAAAATAACCTGCCATTTCTATGCCCTATCCTCCAGGCAGGTGCTAATGCAGGAAAGCTACTCTAGGAACTGACCACATTGTGCTCGAGCTTACTGGTGAGATTTGTGCTGCACTGAGCTATTATTGTCTGTCTGTCTATCTGTCTGTTTGTTTGTCTGTGTGGAGATTCAATGGCTGAGCTGTTTGTTTGAAGGACCATGTGCTATGACTGGCAGTTGGAAGCTGTGAGCTTCTTAATTATTTTTTGAAATCTAGAACCCTCTATTCATTGGTCAAGCCTTAGCCAGGGGGCGGGGCTATCAGGAAGTCCAGGGATTTATAAAGCCCATGAGTAAGCGACCAGGGAGCTTTGCAACTAGGAGTAGCTAACAGGGAGTTCTGAAGGGGCGTGGGAAGGGGGTGAGGTACACTTGCCATGCTTGAAAACCTTTAAATTAAACTAAAAACAAAATTTCCTGATTTAAATAAAAGCCCTATCAATTATCTAGGTAGCTGTAGGGGAGAATGCAGGCAGAAGTCCAGAAGCAGCGTGGGGGCTATCCTTTGTATTGCACTTAATGTAGCATGCATGATTACCTGCCCTGTGAGCAGGTGGCATATGTGTGTATTCAGTGCAAGGGGCCGCTGGCCCTGAGAGACCACGTATGGGCTTTGGAGGCCAGGGTGGCTTAATTGGAGGAGCTAAGAGAGGTGAGACTTTCCAGGGCAATGTAGAACTGTCCTACTTCCACTCAGACAGCCCCTGTGCCATTAAGGAGGATGAAAGGCTCAAGAAAAGAGAACATTCACCTGGAGCAGACGGAAATGATCGCATAGTTGGGACCCTCCTTCCAAAGGATGTTATGGTATCCTCTCGCACTGAGGATACATCTCTGGGGGAGGGAACTCCAGTCGTTAGGAAAAATCAGGTGTTAGTAATGGAGGATTCGATCATTAGAACTGTAGATAGCTGGGTTTGTGATGACCGGGAGAACTGTATGGTGACTTGTCTGCCTGGTGCAAAGGTTGCAGATCTCTCAAGACATCTAGATAGACTTATGTGTAGTGTTGGGAAGGAGCCGGTGGTCATGGTACATATAGGGAACAATGACGTAGGGAAGGGTAGGAGAGAGGTTCTGGAAGCCAAATTTAGGCTGCTACGAAAGAGATTGAAATCCAGGACCTCTATGGTAGCATCCTCTAAAATGCTCCCAGTACCACACGCAGGACCAGGTAGTCAGGCAGAACTTCAGAGTCTCAATGCGTGGATGAGACAATGGTGGAGAGAGGAGGGGGTTAGATTTATTAGGAACTGGGGAAACTTTTGGGATAGAGAACCTGTACAGGAAGAATGGGCTCCACCTAAACCAAAATGGAACCAGACTGATGGCACTTAACATTAAAAAAGTTGTAGAGCAGTTTTTAAACTAAGCACTTGGGGAAAGCCGGCAGGTATGGAGGAGTTCATGGATTGGACAGAGACATCTATTAGGGGAGGTTCTATTAATAGAGATGCTCTATGTTCTAGTCAGGAAGAGAGGATGTAAGTATGGGTCGGGTCAAATGAGACACAATCAAATGAAATAAAGTCTAACACATCAGGAAATGGCAGACAGATAAATAGTGACAAATAATTAAAGTGCTTATACACAAATGCTAGAAGTCTAAATAGTAGAATGGGCGAACTAGAGTGCCTCGTTTTAAAGGAGGATATTGGTATAATAGGCATCATGGAAACATGTCAGAATGAGGAAAATCAATGGGACACAGTCATACCAGGGTACAAAATATATTGGAAGGACAGAACAGGTCGTGCTGGTGGAGGAATGGCACTATATGTGAAAGAAAATGTGGAATGAAATTCTATTTATTTTTCTCCCTGGAACCTCAACTCCTCTAAGCTTCTCTTTCTCCCTTTCCTTAGCTTTTTGCTTCACTAAGAGAGGCTATCAAATTAAAAAAATCAAAAATAGTGGGGGATTTCAGCTATCCCATTATTGATTGATCAGGACAGTGATAGTGACTATGAATTGCTAGGGGAGGTCAGAGAGGCTATCAAATTAAAAAAATCAAAAATAGTGGGGGATTTCAGCTATCCCATTATTGATACAATCCAAGAAAGGACCTTCCCTCTTATCCCATGGCCATGTAATTTACACACGAGCCTTTGGTGAGGGCCCTTGTCAAAGGCTTTCTGAAAATCTAAGTATACTATATTTACTGGATCCCCCTTGTCCGGATGTTTGTTAACCCCTTCAAAGAACTCTTTAGATTAGTAAGACAGGATTTCCCTTTACAGAAACCATGTTGCCTTTTGTCCAACAAATTATGTTGTTCTACATGCTTCACAATTTTATTCTTTACTATTGTTTCGACCAATTTGCCAGGTACTGAAGTTAGACTTACCGGTCTGTAATTGCCAGGATTGCCTCTAGAGCCCTTTTTAAATATTGGTGTCACATTGGCTACCTTCCAG